TTAGAAAAAAAAATCCGCTGTCGGTATTACACAGCTTTTATAGAAATCTCCAAAATCGTTTTTAGCCTCTTTTTAACCCCTTTTTTTTTTTAAATTTTGAAACGATTTGGTCAACGGATTCGTGTTCAACGGGTAAAAATATAAAAATGATTATTCATATGTGCGCAGCAAAAATGAAGTAAAATTTGATTATCAGCGTTACAAATTGTTTCGACCTTTACACGTGTCTTTTCGTTGCTCGAACACAGTTCGTAAATGTCGTAAAACTTTGCGAAATGATAAAAAAATCATTGAAACTGATCTCAGCGGTAAAAAAAAGGAAAAGAAAAAAGCTGACAATGGAATCTATTTCTGGCGCAAAAACCTTGTAGTGCGTTAAAGCAATGAATAATACATACCCATACGTATCGGATACTTTCCAGTAAAAAACGCCGTTCTAGAAGGTGTGCTGGACGGTAAGACGTAATGCCTATTTAATATAATTCCGTTGTATGCCAGAGCATCTATGTTTGGGGTCGGTATCTGATTCGAGCCGTGGAAACCAACGTCATTCCACCCCTAAAAATTTGGAATGTTTTATTTTCAGCGTGTATATAATATGAAATATATAATAAAAATTAATACGAAATATATAATAAAAATTAATTAGTAATTAAAACGAGGTGTTAATAATTTGATAATTTACAATTATTAAAAGATGAATCTCATACTAAAAGAAAAAATTGCCTGCGCTGTAACAATTTAGATGGTAAAATATGACATAGCATTTTTAATTGGCCGCTGCAGTCAGTTAAAAATGCCATGTCATAATTAACCAATCTTTTCTTTTAATGCAGCAAATACCAACTAGCAGTGACATAATTAGTTATAATTTCTCATTCAACATAACTATAACTATAATATAACACATATTGTACGTAATGTAACATTTATTTTATTGAATGGGAAATTATAATTAACTAAAAATAATTAATCAAATGCCAATTTGAGTCAACACTGGTTATTAGTGTGTATTTTATTATAAAATTTATTCAAAAAATGAATATTAAACGTATACATTTAGACCTGCGATCAAGGTCCTCAGTACAAAAAATATATTAACAAAATTAAATAGTGATAGCGCATACAATTATTAACATATAAAATACGAACAAACTGTGGTGGTGATATTCGAGTTAATCTTGGTCATCAAATTACTAAGTTAACTAAAAAGAAAGATTTTTTGTTTTGAAACGACCTACAGTAAAGATTAAAAAATAATTTTAAAAAATAATTTAAAAAGCAAACATGAAATTATACGCGAGAAGTGGTAAAAAAAGGACTTACATGATTGTCAAGATTGACCTGTATCTATAATTTATATGTTGCTTGGTTATTTATTATTTATTATTTATACTTTTTGTCTTTGTAAGAACATGTTCTATTGTCCACTGTTTCTCTCAATTTTTATTTTACGTCTACCAAACAGTTATGTCGTGTCTAATATTTTTAAATTTTGTTTCATGTAAGTGAACGAAATTTTGATTACTACTGTTATTTATATTAACTTTTTAATTTATTCACATTTGTATTACGCAGTAAATTGAACAGTCTAATGGAGCATGTACAACGAATCTTATAGATACAGGTTTCTATCAATCTTGACAGTCATGTAAGTTTTTTTTTACCATTTTTCGCGTATAATTTTATGTTAGCCTTTTTAAATTATTTTTTAAAATTATTTTTTAATTTTTTTTACTATAGGTCGTTTCAAAACAAAAAGTCGTTTTCTTTTTAGTTAACTTAGTAATTTGATGACCAAGATTAACTCGGATATCACCACCACAGTTTTTTCGTATATTATATGTTAATAGTTTATGTATGCGCTATCACTATTTAATTTTGTTAATATATTTTTTGTACTGAGAAGAACCTTGACCGTATATAGGTCGAAGCGTATACGTTTAATATTCACTTCACTGAGAAAAAAATATAGTCAATTTTAATAAATATTTAGTTCAATACTGCCAACTAAATATTTACTTACAGTAAATAAATACTTGTTTAGTAAAAAAAAATGATTGTTAAATCAAATTAACATTTCTTGTATCAAATAAATATATCTTTATATTTAATAAACATTTAGTTGGCATGTATTCAACTAAATATTTATTAAAATTGACTATATTTTTTTTCAGTGTTTGAATAAATGTTATAATAAAATACACACTAATAACCAGTGTTGGCTCAAATTGACATTTGATTTATTATTTTTAGAATTTTCTTCAGAGAGCCTATCGATTATATTGTTTATAATTAACTAAGTTATGTTACTGTTGATATTATAGTTGATGTTTATGGGACATGTACATTCAAAACATTACTCTCGTACCGGAAGCCTAACATATAAAAATTACGTGATCGAATTAAATTGTAATTGGCGCGTGTAGGAATTATCATTCCGTCGTGTCGGAATGAGTCACAATTCATGACATGCGTACTGTTGATTGCGGAGGCGTAGATAAGACGTAAGCTACGATAATTAACTCAACTAAGGATAATTTTAATCTGGAATACTTTTGCGTAAATTAATCGTGCTGAATTGTGTATGTAAAGCAAGCACGAGTAACGCAAAATATAATGATGTTTATACAAACTGTTATATGTATATATGTATGTAATATAAAGTATTGCTCTTAATAATATATGTGCAAAATGTGATTTAATTCTTAATTATTTTCTCATCAAATTTACGAATAAGCAAATTGACAAAATGCAATTTTACATAAAAATCAAGATGGATAAAAGAATTACTAACAATAAGTAACTTTTAAATCAAAATATAATGCTCAAATTTTACACAGCTATTTAGACGTAATAATAAAACAATCTATGAAATTTTTATATTTTTGGTATTTACATATGACACATATCCTTAAGAATTACTGAGAATCTCAGGACTGATCTTCATAAACTTTTCTTCTATTCTTCTGCTTTTTCTTTCTATTTCTAAATTTCCGTTGTATATTAACACTATAAAACTCTATAACTATATACTTGGTATACTTGTAAAGTATATTTAAATACCTGAATTTTTTAAAAGAATATAGAATATTTCTAGCTTCTCTTTTTATCTCTTTAATTAAATTTTAATCCTCACTTCTTGTAAGGAGATGAGACAATAAATAAAAAAGGATTTATAACAATTGTAAAACTCTGCTTTTGAAAATTTTAAATAAAGAAAGGAAAAGAGAAGATTTATATATTTAGAAATATAATACATAATCATTTATTCTTATGTTTTATAATGCAATTATCAACTAAAGGATCTTCGTTTTTATCAATATGTTTTACCAAATCATCAGCCATCAAGACGATTATATTCGGTGCTGCTTCGTAACCAAATGCAGTTCCAAACAGAAAAAAACAAAAAACTTGATAAATATCAATCCGTAATTGTGTCATTAAATGCACCATCTTCACAATGATTTAACTGTTTTTAAATATTCAGGAATTACAAAAACGAAGAGAAATAAATTTCACTCTTCGTTCACGCGCGGCTTCTTTTTCGCACCTCGCGTCACTTAGTAGTAATACTCGCATAAACAGAAGGAGGATACATCATTTACACGACGTATATATGTACCGACGAACTCTTGTAAGATAGGAGCAAGAAGAAGAGACAACGTTTATATATCCCACCCACGAAAGAGCGTCATGAATGGATCAAGGGGAACGGGAATAAGGGAACATGTATATTAATGATCACGACAATGACAAAGATAACGTGTCTCAAACTGGGTTGCTTCTCGTCTTACAACCTATTTTCTCTACTTATCTAATTCCCTTCCGCGACTGACCGCGACTACTTACGTTCACGTAGAATTAAGGAGATGTAACGTAAGAGAGAAGTATTACAAAGAAGCGCAGTACCCCTTCATTTTTACGTCTGAAGTTTCATAGTCATCCTCACGATTAATGATGCCGGATGCTTCTTGTAAATTTAAAATATGTAAGCAGAAAAGTAAAAGAAATTAACAGTATGTTGTTATAAAATGTGTAGTACGATCACTAAGGTGGAGATTTACATAGCTAATCTAAAGGTCGTAATGAATAAGAAATTTTTAGAACATAAATTAAGCTTTACTCTTTAGAACATATTAATTTAATCTTTGAACTCGAATTATACAAACTGTTAAAATCACTTACATTTTTTGTATTATAAGGATACACAGAGTAGTTGTGGAAATGTTTGTCTAAAAAATTAGAAGAAAATATACTGCAAACTTCCTAAGTTTTATCGTATCCCGACTAATGTCGAATTAATTGTTACAAATTACTTGAAAAGTCACGCACATAAATTATAGGTATAATATCATTTATATATTCGCAGAAATTTATACATGTATCACATAGTTAAAAATACGAAAGGTTACATTTTATATTCAGTATCTTTTCTTGCGAGACCATCAATTGAGAAAAACTTATTTTACATCTTTTATTTATTTTCTTGTTAAAGAAATTGTTTTTTCATCAACGACATTATTCACCAAAAGTTTAAAATACATCATGATGAACATAAACATCCTTTACTACTATGATAGATAGTCGTCGACATTGACGCAACGAGTGACGTATTAATTAAGACATCCAAATAATTGGGAACGCTTTGAACAAGCGACCAGTTAAATGAGCGCATACCTACATCTCCGCAGCCTTTAGAGTTGATAAAATGAAATAGTGGAGAAGTGTGTATGTCGCTCATTAAGAGCTGTAAATGTAGTTCATGGTCTAGAAACAATGTGACGAATTGGTTCAAGAGTATTAAAAAAAACGGAAATAAATTAATTAGGAACATGCAGAAGCAAAAACAAAAAACGTTGAAGAGATAAAAGCGAATTTCAGTAACAAATTTATTTACTTACATTCATATATAATATTTAATAAAATATATGTACATATTTAATAAAATATATACATTTTGCAACAGATGTTCAAGTATAACATTCAGGTGCGAGCCCATCCTTTTATAAAAATTTAAAAACGGCTAGTCAAAATCCATCAGTTATATTTAGAAAACATTTCTACAAATACATAAATTGCACAATTCACGTATATACACAAAATATTTAAATGAAGAAAACACAGATACAAACATATCCCATAAACTTAAATCCATAAATTTAAATCCATTTCCTCAGTAATAGAATATAAGAATTGTTATTCCGACGACCTATGTAATATGTATTAGACGAGTTTGACTTTGGTGACAAGGAGCCTATTCGTTTTAGCTAAACTTCTCGCATTCAACTTTTCTCTTTTTCTCTTTATGGAGAAAAAAAATAAATGGTACACGAAAAATTCAACTAAAAAAAGAACAGACATCAGATCTATGCATGTATACAAATTAATCCGTCAACAAAACTATATTCTGGTGATCTTGCATTTTATCTAAGGTATCTAGATTATCCCACCAATGCAGCAATTTAAAATTGTAAATCATACGGAACCACGGTGTCAACAGTGGTGTGGTCTTCATAAAATTCTCAATCTCCGATCGCGACATCCATTGAAGCTCGCTCACTTCATCGGGATTGGGATTTAAGGTGAGATCGTCCCGTTGCAGGAACAATAAGTAATCAATCTCGTGTTCACCCCAGCGACTGCTACTGGGTTTTTTATAGCGAATTCTTGTCAAGTAAAATAGGTCAGAAGGTTTGATCTCATCCCGAGGTATACCCAGCTCATAACAGAGTCTTCTTATCGCGGCTCGACGTACACCTATAGCGTCTCCTTCTTCTATTTCATTAGGAATCTCCGCTAAGGGATGACTGCAGCACGTATTCGTATAGCAATTTGGAAATGTTATCTGTAATATAAATTATATAAAAAAATTAGAGATGTATGAAAAATATTTGTAGAAAAATTAACAATTATTTCACACGAAAAATTTAGTTTGTTACAATTTTAGTTTGTTGACAATTAAGATTGTCACAATTAAGACTTTTACTATGGATTTCTTAGGATTTTTATTTTGAATTTTAATCTTCAAGGTATTTAATCTTATGGGTTAAGCCGTGCTCAGACTATACATTAGAATTGAGATTAGATTAATATTTTATAAAAAAGCAAAGTCCACTAAACTTGATATTGGTTTTCTTTCTTCCAATTGGTTAAAATTCCAATCTATTCTCAATTTTAATCTGTAGATCGTTAGAAAATTATGATAAATAAAACTGAATGTGACTTAAGTACAGAATATCAGTTTCCAAATTCATATATTCTTCCTTTACTTTCAAACTGATATGATTCAAAAAATTAAATTTTTCAGAAAAAGAAAAGACCATTTTTTTAGTTGTGACAATTTTGATTTCCTACAAAATTATAATGTAAATCAGGAATAACTCTCAAAAGTGACATGACTCAAAATATTACCAATTGTAAATATATTTTACCAGAGTCTGATTATTCAAATTTTACTTATGTGATTAAAATATTCAAGATCATATTTTAAAATAATATTAAAGGAGATTCTTACCTTGCCGCTCGATCGTTTCTGGAGTAACAATTCCTTTTTACTATTAAACAGAAAGACACTGAATGCCCTATGTAGGGGTGAACATCCATCTGTATTAATCTCATGACAGACTTGCTTGGTAGCTTCACCAACAGGCTTATCTAGTTCATCAACGAGTATGCAGCGTTCCTGTAAAGCAGCTTTCTGCAATTGTGTTACTCGCATTGTTCCATAATCTTTCTCAAATGTCATCATTTTGTGCATAATACCACTGAGATTCCTAGATATTCCTCTGATCATCATTAACCAGTTATCTGCAGAATAATGACTGGAAATAAATTAACGAGAATGTAAGATATAGCTTCTCTTATATAGCAAAAATAGATAAACATATTCATAAGGTTACCCAACCAAAACAACAAATCATGATAATATCAAAATGAATTGGAAATGACTGAAAAATGACTTAATGATCATTTTGTAATCAATAGGTCTGTTGCTTGCACTTTTGGCACTCGACATCTTCGCTTTCTTTCTTTTTAAGGTAAAATATGTATCTATCTCATTTTAAGTGCAAAAATATTTAGGGATTTCATGCAGCGCGAAAAGACCTATTTTGACATTATTATGATATGATGATTTGTTGTTCTGTTTAGGATGACTTCGAGGAATAGAATTTTATCGATTTAACAATAGAATTTATGATCACTTAGATGGGAATTAATTAACTCGAGGAGCAAGGACATACATACGTACCACGTGGCAAAACACGTCGAGAAGACTGGACTTGACACGATGAGCGTTTCCATCCAACTGCGTTACGAGCATCGTCCAACTTTCCAAGAAAACGGGGACGAGACGAGCCTAATTGAACCGCATAAGATCGAGAATGGTATCTGACGACGAATGGGAATTCTTTCTCTTTACGGTCCGGATTCCGGAATGTAAAGCCGGTTCTACATTAAGTTGCAAGCCGATCGCATGTTTGTTGCGACAGCCAATCTGAAGCTTGCATTTTGAAATCAATGGGCGCCTTCAGCGGACTCAACAGTTGAGTGAGCGCTTGCTGCTATTGATGTATTCTTCCAAGTCTAAAATTCTGATTGGATGAGCTAAAAGAATACACCAATAACAGTGAGCGCTCACAAAACTGTTGAGTCTGCCGGATGCGCCCAATGCTTCGTATTGGCTGTCGCAAAAAACTTGCGATCAGCTTGCAACTGATGTAGAACCGGCTTAATGTGAAAACTGTCTTATCTCTCCTTCGCTTTTACGGAAGAGATCCCTTTATCACTCCTCAATTCATTATTTTCCAACTAAAATCAAACAATGTAGGACTCACTCCTAATAACTGATTTAAGTAAATCACTTAACCTAGACGTGACTCACATCTGAAACTACCAGTGCCATAATAATTTCTCGCACTTTGCGTCAACTTCTTCATAGAACCATTACTTAGCGAAAAGTGAAAGTACTTAAACGAGGTGGAGAATAGAGGTTAAATACATTCGCAAATACTTGTAAATATTCAATTCACAAATATATTATGATGCTAAATGAAGCACAGCCAAACACAGCTGATTGCTGAGTTTACTGACCGAGCACCACTAGCGCTTATCTTCTTCCATTTTCTTCCGCGCAAATTTGTAATATAATAATCATAATAATTATCTATTACGAAGCGCTAACGTGTTTTTCCAAGTTGCGCTAATTCCCGCGAGGAGGCGGTAATCTTCAGACAGCTTATTTATCAAGTGATTCGAGTCAGATGGTAATATTGGTAATCAGGTTATGTTAAAATAGTACAAGTTTATGAAACAAATTTCTATCTGCAGTAATTTAAAAATAAATGTGTGTACATATTTCTTAAGAAACCTAATTATACAATGACTGAATAATAATTAGCAATCGATTCTTGTCAATGACGAATTAACTTTATTTAACTAATTGATCTGTTTTACTAATAATTAGGTACTTATAAGGAGAGCTCTCTGAGAACGGAGGGAGAGGATAAATAATAAATATGCTCAAATTTCCGAGATTATTAGTGAATCATGTGAAAGCATTGGCGACACCCACGTCGTCTAGTAATGCGGATTATTTGTCACAGCAAACACGGGTAATTGCTTTTATTATTACATATATAGCCATTAACATGTTCTTTTCCAGCAAGAAATATAATGCAATGATCTTTTCATTTTGGTTAACATTTGCAAACAAATATAATAACTCGCTGTATTACACTGTCATCTGTTTGGTGCTTTTCATTTGTTGGTGACACAACTTGACACAAGTGTCGATTTATAATAGAAAGATAAAATGATGCTTGTGTCGACTTGTATCAATATAAATGGAAAATACTTTGTGTTTTTTGCTGGAAAGCATTTTAAAGCCTATTCTACAAAGCTTTTTGTTTCCTGTTTCTTGCTCTTATCTATTTTTTATATCTTGTTGTGTTGCTTCTTATCCGGTTTTATGTTTTATGTCGCCCGAGATAAAAATTAACGGCTGTTTTACAATGTGCTTTTTGTTTCCTGTTTCTTGCTGTTTGTCTCTTGCCTTCTTGATCAAAAAGGCAAGAACAAACAGAGACAAACAGCAAGAAATAGGAAACAAAAAGCACATTGTAAAACATAAAATCGGATAAGAAACAAGAAAACGTTGTAGAATAGCCATGACGAACTTTGACAGAAACAAGAAATATGTAGCAAGAAATATAATTGTCTATAAAACGGTTGCAAAGGAGAAAAAAACAAAAGGTAAAAAGCAAGAAACAGAAAACAAAGAGCGCATTGTAGAATAGGCTTAAATGGAAAACTCCTTGCGTTTTTTACTGGAAAGCACCCTTATTAAATTTGTACCACTGAATTAGTACACAATAAAAAAGCTGCTTTATATAAAGTATCTAAATGCAGTGACATAATATAATTAACTTTGGCAATGAAATAATACATATATATTAGTTGATTTATTCTCATATAGTGATCTTGTTCTAATTAATTTCATATATATTCTGTTAAATAATGTTACATATCGTTATCAATTAGTGTATTTTTTTTTCATCTCTATCAGTATATTTTTTTTTATAATAAATTAAATTAAATTAAAGTTAAATTATTGAGCATTTCTTTTTATAAATATTTATATGCTTTTATATTTTACTTTGGTAATTTCATGTACAGCAGTTTTTTGAATATGCATAAATCTAATGTAATACAAATGGCCAAATTTTCTAATTGTGTATTTTGTAATTCTTGAGATAGCTTGATAGTTTCCTACACATATAGATTATTAAACTGTTCTCGTACTTATTCTGTTTTAATTTTTTGCAGAACACTTTTATTCTCAAAAGAAGGAATCCAGTACCTCTTCACAAAAAGAATAGTAAGCCTCATCGTCTGAGAACAAGGCATTTCATTTATGATCTTGTTGAGGATACTAATGTAAAGAAAAAAGAACCACTCGATTTGATTCTGACACAATACGTGGCAGGATTCGGCAATGTGGGCACTCGAGTGTCGCTACATCCAACGACAGCATACTCGAAGCTTTTACTGCCGAAATTGGCGGACTATGCTACCCCCGAGAACATTGAAAAGTATACGAAATTGGCGGTAGACCAGGAAGGTGATAAGCCGTTCAGTTCTTCCTCAGTAGAGAAAACAATGAAGTATTTATCACGGAAGCGGATATCCATAGTGATGTCAAAGGATGTGCCATGGACGTTGGAGAAGTGGCATATCAAAGCAAATTTCCGCAAGGCTGGTATTTACCTACCTGAGGACAGTATAACGATGCCCGTGAAACCAATATCTGGACCGAACCTGGATTTACAGGGAAAGGAATTTTACGTGACTATCACGATTAATAATCGCGAACAGGTGAAGGTGAGATGTAATCTGCATCATTGGACGCCGGAGAGTTCCTCGCAAATTTACGTCAGTGAGTTCTGGAAGCTGCCAGCCGATCCGATATTTCCCGAGGACAAACCGATTTTAGATTCTCTTCCTCCGTTCTGGATAGAAAGGAAGAAGAAAACGACACATTGCTAATGTTGTATTATAATATAAATAAATAACGCTTAATAAGAGTGAATAAGTTTTCCTAGAAATTCCTAACTTTTGGATATATATTTTAGACTTTTTTAGCTGTATCTGTGTGCACGGTTTATCGATCGTCTTTTTTTTTACATTGGAAAAAAAGAAAAGATAAACTACGCAAAAAGTTTAGTTAAAAAGAATAGACCTCTAGAATTCTTTACGTAACTATGATTGTATTGTTATAATATTGCTCAACGCGATAATTGTACTCTTTCATACAATTTAATGAGAAACCTCCAATAATTCTTCTAACTACTATTCTAAAGAGATTTGGGAGTCTAGTAAACGCTTCAAGTATATATACTTGCATGGGGAACTATATTTTCCTCGATCAATAATTTGACTCTGTTATACCTTCATTGTGATTAAGAGAGCATGTCTATTTCTAGAAACTATGATAACCTGAAAATTTGCTATGAATAAAATCGTGAAAATTATATGATGTAATAACTCAATATGGGTGAAAGGTACTTTGCATGGGATGAAATTTCGGAAGGATTAATTCTATTTAGGTAATTCTAGTAACTTCAAATTTTTCGTTCCATATTTATAATACAGTTTAACTATTTTCTGTAGTTTTTTTTTTGCTTATTTTTTAATCTACTTTATTTAAAATAAATACACGATATAATTTAATATTCTATGATAGAACTTTTAGATAGAGACAGATCGATATAAATTATTTTTATCTGCGAATAATTGTTCTAGACGTTAATGCATTTTTTTTTATATCATCTTAATAAAGATTTTCTAAGATTTTTCATTTTATAATTTTTGAGAAAGAAATAAAGGCATTTTATAAAATCTTTCAGATCTTATATTTTATTAGAATTATTACAGAATAAGAAATTAAAAAATCTTAGAATATTTCAGATTCATGTATATGAAAATTTTAGTAAAGATATAGATTGTCTCGGCACTTCTGAAGAATACAATTTGTATAAAAAATAAGAAATTTTATAAAACGTTATAAATTCAGAAATTTTTAAATTTATATAAATATTCTAAAAAATTCTGAGAAAAATTTTCATTATGGGAAAGAATGATTTCGTAAATCCTTTCATCCGCGTAAATCCCTATTTCATTTATTAGTGTGGCAAAGGCAGAAGAAGAACAAGCTAAGCGACGAAGAAAGCGAATTGCTGCTGTCCCTACATCGGAAATTTATTCTCCACACGCGTATTTGATTTTGTGCTACCGGGAAACATTAAATGACAGCGAAAAGGTGAGGATCGGACCACAACTATATAAATTCTTTGGCAACTCGATATCACGAGGAGTGTCTCATATTTGTTCCAATTGTAGATCAGATTCCGGAAGAATTATCTGAGAAAAGTCACGCCGGATGAGCCAGACATCATTATCCTGCAGGACATCAAGGATCTCGTGCTCTTCCTCCTCGTGACGTCCGTCAGCCCGCAGTTCATAAATTTCTTTCACTTGCCGATTGCAGACCGATTTTTGAGAGCACTTATCATTTACTTCCAACGCTTCGTGCAGATATGGGAGGATCTGGGACATGAACGAGCGGCCACCATGAGGAAGGCACCTAATCCACTGGCGCGTGGACATAGATCTCGATATGCCGATGAAATGCATACTCTACGTTGTGTCCTGGGCAGGGAGTACGCGGACTTGCTGCTGGGCTGCCAGGATGGGTCTCGCTATCACCACATGATAACCAATTCGAAACGCACGGCCACGCAATCTCAGGGCGAGAAAGACCTGCGAATCTATGAGGCATTGATAAGTGTGGCTCATAGGGTCGTATGGATAGCATTACAGCGAAAACATTTCACTCTGATCGGTACGACAAAGAGCATATATAATGTTCTAAATAAACATTATATATCATTTTACGATGATATACAAAGAGAATATCATACATCGTACATCACTGTATAATGATGTATGATGAAGATTTTGCTATAAATATTGTATATCATCGTGTAAAATAATATACATAAGTTTACAAGATTCAGAACATTATACGCTGAATGTATATATTATATTTACGATATTCTTATTTGAGAACTGATTACCGAATCGCTGATCATCGTCTCGCAGAGCTAGAACTGCACAGGCTGCTCCGGACCGAGGCGTACAATACCGCGCAAAGACAAAGTGGCAGTCAGCTTATTCAGGATATGCTGGAGGATGATATTCGTATATTACATGGTCCCGAGACAACCCTGAAAACTCGAAAATTGCTCAGAAATTCCCCCTTACCTCACGAGCTGATATACGGAGATTGCGACTATCGTCTCCTATCGTTAGGTGATATATATTTTTTATGAAAATAGTATATTTGTATTCAGAATTTATAGAAATAGTATATCTAAGGATATTTAAAGTATCAAGATCTATATGTAGAAATAATGTATCTATACCCACGAATTATGACTTCGACTAAATTCCGATTAACTAATCGACAACTAATTCAACCGGCACAGTTACAAAATTAATACGACATGGCGAGAATTTTTTTTCACAAGAAATTAAAACAATATTTATATGTATATATTAATATAGATAAATTCTAGAAATACAATTATTGACGAATATAATATTTTTGGTTCTTATTTATATAATTCATTATTTCTCTAATTTAATTTTGTTATGTAAATAACAGAATATTAATAATTCTATTCACATTAACAAGATAGTACAAATGATAAGTTAGTCATCGATCAAGTTAATCAAAGTTTAGTCGTAGTCATCCTTAGTCTATTTCTAAACTACGATATTTGCGCAAAGAATAGCTGTGCAATCGTACTTCCATTTAAAGGCGTAGCAGATATCGACATACACCATCCAAAAATCGCTTATCTAAGAAATGCTCTTCTCGTCGACGAGGAAAAGCTATCTCAATTAGGGATCAAAGTGGGCATATTGGGTCACAATCGCTCGGATTATGATATAATGTTAATGCCGCACGAACCAGAGGAACCGACGGAGCCAACAGAAACTGCTTTGCTCGACAAAAAATCGTTGGAGACGCGAAGGAGTATCTTTGTAACTAAAATCTTGGTAAGTGTCCGGTCGCTTTTTTTTTTACAGGAATACAAATCTTAACTGGATACACGGAGAGAGATCTCTAAAATATTTCTATTTCGTGGTACAAAGGAACAAGAGGTCGAAAGCCTGCCCGAAATAATGGAGGAGTTCCCAGTGAAAGAAATTCAGGAGGTAAACGAGAAATATGATAAGATTCGCGAAAAATCCCGGATAAAATGGATCCTTCGAGAGATAAAACGACGTGAACGCAAAGCGACTGATACTTACTCTATAGCGACAACTTTAGACTGAATGTTCAGAATAGAATAAAATTCTTACATCTATACGACGAGAATTTCACAAGAAATTAAAATGGTATTTATATATATTAATACGGATATAAATTCTAGAATATCGACAATTTAAGAATATAATATTCTTAAGTCTTATTTATCAATATAAAAATAATACACAGGTCTAGTCGTTTTGTCAAGCCGATATTATCGTTAGGATATGAATGACAAGGATGGATATAAACTGAACGCTATAACGCAATATAAAAAATATGCTTATTATAATTGGTGATGCCTAATCAAGAGTAATAATGCTGATATTTTACAAGAAGATACACATATAGATACATTTTCAAGCAATGCGTTACGATTAAATTCGGCATTGTCCTGTCGATAAATAATTATTGTATACCTAATCGCTAGCGCTATATACGTAATAACAATACATACGACGTTAATTTAATCCCCAATGTGGGTCGACTTGCAAATTATTCCGTTTCCGTTTGCATCTACGTGCGATCAACTCGCTATTTGCGTTTTTTGTAATCGCTCACATTCAGCTAAACGTTCGTTACTTAGTAGTGCGCTTTGCATCAGTGCGACCCGTTTTTCTTGAACAAATGACACGCATTATGTAACAACATAAAAAAAAAAGAAAAAAGAAATTTCTCAATATTTGGCACAGTGATTTTGATAATAAAAACCAGATTATATTTTATATCTGCCAGTCTTGCGCACACACACGCATAATGAATAACATTTTAAATGTTTTTCTTTATCGGTAGTTAATAATGTGTTACATTTTCCCGTTTCAAGTTATTACGATATGTATCGAGATTACGATAATCCACAGTATATCTGCGTATCACGTTTTATACTACTATTATTACAATGGAATCGTAACAATGTTTTGTCGTGCACGTACTTTAAGAATTAAATGGCAGTAAGCAACTCAACCATTCACGCACTATTATACCATGATCTAGTTTTACTTTCAGAATCTGTGCCTTTATACTTTTCATAAAAAAAAAAGAAAAAATTCTCTTTTCAAATGAACATTGAAATATTCTCTTGAAAAAATATACGTGATAATATATAAAAAGTTTCCTTTACTTAGTTGATACACAGCGTGTCATCTTCTCATTTGTAAGGCTGCAAAGCGTGTTGCACATCCGGTAACAATATTAAAAAATGAAAATTTTCGGCACTTTTCGCTAATGTTTACTTCACTTAGATATTACAGCTATTCTATCGCTGAACATTTGTCTACATGAATATAATACAGAATGGACAAAGTGACAATATTGATTATCCACATATATTAATAATATAACGATAATAAATGTGATTATTTAACTGTGTTATTGCAGTAATCAGATTATGGAAAAAAACGTGATTATATACACTACGTATTACATATATTTATGTAGACATATGTATACTTCTTTTTCTTTATAAATTCAGTCGTGTGTTTGTATAAACATATATTCTATGCACAAGGTTTTATAATGAAAATTAAATTGTGGAAAAATGTATTTTATTTAAATAAAATTTAGGTAATATATTTTCAGAGGATGATACTGCATAAGATGTATATCATATTCATCATTTCTTTTTTATATTGCCGCCGTTGAAAAAATAATGCAAATACCATTTTTTACATTCTGCAAATTAATGAATAATTTTGCTACCACAATTTGCTCTAATATAATGATATATATATGTATGTGTGTGTATACTTTATACATATATGTATATATATATAAAATATATACACAGTTATGTACGAACACCAAATATTTCTTTCAAATATTATATCGTTTGACTCCAATTATTCTGTACTTTAATTTGTAGAGCTAAACTCCAGTTTGCAAATCAGAATACGTTACTCACAGTTGCTACAGTAATCGATAACAGATAAAATCATTACAAATCAGTCATAAAAATACCTTTGTACCTATTATTTGAGTAGTCAGTAATTAGCTAGACATTACGTGTAATTCAATAAATATAGAATCTATTAGTAAACATAATTTAGATAATTCCTGCTGTTTATTTCGATAAAAACAAGCCGTATATAAAAATGGAAACTATGCATCTCGTTTAGCTCGCGTGTATTGGAATCTAATTTGAACCATTAATGTGAACTTTTAGCCCACTCTCGTCCCTTCTACTTATACATTTCATTATCCTTCAAAATGATTGTATGTATTAATTGCAGCTATAACAATTTTTCTAAGCAAATTTGTCAAGTGCAAGTCAAAGTATCTGCAAATAAGCTACAAATATAATGCATGTATTGCAAATGTAATAATAACGCAGAATGTCCGTGATTATTTGTCAAAAAGGATGGAATTCTCGGTTTTTACACTACTACTTGTTTAACATAAACCTACCTGTGTTGTACCCGATGCTGTTTATACTAAATTCATAAATTTGCTATTGTTTTTTTTTTTTCATTTTTTGTTACTTTCTGTATGTCAATCCCTGCCATTATCTCGGACTTGCGTGGCTATGTGATAAACAGTCTATAACGCAATCTTACGTTTAGCAGCACAGACACAAACAGTATTTCTTTCTACATTACAAGGAACACGCACGAATTCCTTTCCGAAAAATTATTACATTAGGATTGGTGGGGCTACGAGGCAATGTCTGACATAAGCTGGGCAAGCAAGGCCGGCTCTAAAAGTCCATGCGTCTGCCCCATCCTCTCCAAGTTTCGTACATCTTTATCAACTTCTTCCAAAGCCCGTTGCAATTCCTCCTCTTCTTCTCTCGACGGCTCATAATCTCCGTTTCTACCCTCTATAAATTGAAACACATCTTACATTAGCTTATGAATTAAACATAACGAGTTCTACACAATCTCGAGATTTCCAAAATGTACCAAAGATATGGATGTTGCAATTACCGATAAATAAGTCGTTAAAAGCATCCGGGGGCAAGTTATTGAGCACATTGCCAAAGTCATGCTCAGCAGAGTCCAAGGAAGCGAATACTTCATTATCCCCAAGCTCGACTTTGAGTCCTCCGCTCAGACCAAGAGAGCCTAATCCCAATCCTAGATTTAAGTTAGACGTGTTTGAACATCCTTGCGGAACATTCAAATTGTTCAACATCTTGGTATGGTTTTCACTACAGTTTATTTGGCTCATGAAATGACTCTCCTCGGGCATCAGTGCCACACTCTTGGTAGTCTCTATTTTATTAGAGGGTGGTCGTTTACGTTTCTTCGGCTTGGACTTGGGTTTAGGCTTCGCCGGGATAGGAGGGGAGACTGGAGGCTTTTTACGAGCTTTCTTTGGTTTAGATTCTTGGATTTTACGGTGATAATTGTCTCTCTTCCTCGCGTGTTCTGGGCAAAGAGGTAATTCGTGCGCGACATCAAACACAGGAACACAACACTGTGTGTTGTCACTAAACTTGGCAGTGCAATGCTCAAATAAAAGCTGATCTCCGTTCAACATAATGTGGCGGGAACAATGCCGGGTACAAGGCAAAGACGTTTGTTGGCATCCCTCCGCTCCACATGGCCCGCCAACTAATAGCGGTCCGTCGAGTACCTTGCTGGTACTTGGAGAGTCACACAAAGCTCGCGCGGTAGAAGTAGGATCTTTGGAAGCGGCATCCAGCAAACATCTGACCCTGTGCCGCAGAACAGCTTCAGCGTCAGCACCATCGATACGCAACTGAAGCAATTGTCGTTGTAACTGCGAACGCAGTTGGGACAGCCGAGCCGCTCGATTTGGTGATGCAGTAGATTCGCCGAAAACCCAATGACGCTGATGTATCATCAACTCGTCACCGCTTGAATCGCTGTCAAATATCTCGTCCCCGGCCCTCGGATAATACAACAGCGTGTGGTCCCGACTTTGCCTCCTAGGTCGCAATCTCTGCAAATTTTCAATGTGTCGTTGCTTACACTGAACTAAATTAGAAAATTTGTGATCCAAGTTCACCCCAATGCCGTTGTCGATGTTTGCCTCTGCCGTGGCATTGACCCCGACAATCTTGTAGCCTGCGACTGGAACAGGCGCTACCCTTATCCTCTGTTTCATGCATTTCCCCTTTGACTTGTTGTTTTTGCAACTTTGCATTACTTCGGAATTTGTCGGTGGAACCACTGTGGCATGTCTTCCCCCTGCTGTAGCAAATGGTTCTGGTTCACTGAAAATGTACGGATCAACATCTTGATGTGCCTCGGTTTTCAGCAAAGCCTTCAAGCGATCCGAAAACTTCAATTTATTGTCCATGTTTGAGTTTTCGGAAATTGGGACCTTCATTGATTGCTGCTTCTATCCAGATCTGTTCCACCTGCATTCTCAAATCCTCCAAGTCAACTTTCTTCCTATCTAGATCAAACTTAGTTCACGCTATGTGCCAAGATCCAAGTTATACCATTTGATTAGAAAAATGTAATACTGAGACCCCGTACGTAAGAAAATTAAAAAAAATATGTTTCATGTCATATCACAGATATTTTCTATTGCAGAGTTAATCAAGTAAAAAAAAGAAGGTCCAAGCGTATTCGCATAAACAGTACTATTCTATACTGTACACAGCTCAATATAAGCTAAATTATATGATATACCAATCACGTTTAAGTATATCGATATGTTATACACGTAATGTATCCTTCTCTAAATGTACACAGTCATGGAATTTGCATTAATTGATCTAACAAAAGGCTTACGAAACAATCGTGCCTATTCAACAGCTTTGTTTGCCTACGCAGTACAGAATTAATATTTAAATTGCATTGTCACAACACCGCTCAATGCTACTCGTGAAGGCGGTCTATGTGCGAATGTCGAGTTCCCTGGTTCGGGCAGTAAGCGTGAACTTAGTCCATTGCTAGATGTGAGGACAAAAACGATCCTTGCCTCGCATAGTAGTCTACACCAAGCGTGTCCTACACATGTCTGAGCAACTGCGACTGCAACTGCGTCGTCGTCGTCGTCGTCGTCGTCGCCGTCGCGCATCGAGCGGACGTTGAGTTGGTCTGCAGCACTGTTGGAGCGGCGCGCCTCGAGGATATCGCGGCTGGGAGCGTGGCCATATCACCAGAGGGTGATATCCCCGCCGTTGGCATAGACGCGCGCGCTCAACGGTCAGGATCTTCCTTCCTATGCTTTCTTTTCCTCCTTTTTAGGTTAGGTTCGTTCACGTCACGTCACGTCGAGACGGCGAGACACGGCGTGTTCCCGATCCTCAGCGAGGCAACCGGAAGTACTCTCGGGACAGACCTCGCGGCATACTCGACTCCGAGATTGCTCGCGGACGCAGGGCTCTACCTGCTCACCAGCTCTCGTTCACGACGTTCACAGGCACGACTTCCGAGGGGAGGGGGAGGAGGGTTGAGGTTGGGACGACACTGACCAGCGATCGCTCTTGACAAAGGCAATAACGGCGAGGGCGGATGTTCCGTCGAAACGTGCCACGGCACCGAGCTTCCC